TAAAGCACCACTTATGGTGTTCCAGTTTTATGAAAAAAAATCAATTCTTTCTATGAATGTAGGAAGCTTAAATATGGGAAAACAAATTTTTCGGAAAATTGAGATAAGAGTTATCAGTAGACGTAAAATGGTCCCACGCATACAGGCAGACGTATATAGGTTGGAGGGAGTAATGAGCAAGGAGGTTAGAATAGCAGGAGGGAGAGTTCGCAGTTTCCTCCACTATCGGGGAATGAAACTCCATGGAACACGCGGCGTCCATGTTTGTAACTTCAAAATATTGCATTACGGCAGTGAAACGTATGTTAAGCTGCTCCGTGCATGTATTTTCCACTAAAAATATGTAAAATTTATAATGAAATACTTCGCTATTGTTAGTTTTTTGTTTTAAAGTTACAAAGATGTATATCCGTAATTTATTACATACAGAAAATCATTAAGAAATATTTCGAAATCTAAATGCATGTGCATAACATTAAAGCCTTTAAAAATAATGTTTCTGCATATTTCAAGAATTTGTTTAGGTTTTATTAGCAACCTGTTGGGTGTACTTTCCAGTTTTTTCCTTTAAGAAGTGATATTTCTGATTTATTCACAATATTATAATTTCTTAAAGAATCATTTAAAATATATTTAACCTGAAATTAATAGCAGTAATTATCTAAAAATTCACAGGTTGCATTTTTATTTTAAATGAAAGTTTTAAATAGATTGTTTTCACACCAACAACCTTATAACAACAAATAAAATATTAATAAAATAAAAAGATTATGTGAATTCAGTGATTTTCAGCTTATGCGCGTTTATATTTATGAATCTCAAAGAAATTGGCCTTGCATTAAGCTGAATTCAGAAATATGTATACCTATATTTTTGGACACATCTTCCACATGTTCAGTGTGTAATATTTTTTACTTTTATCGCTATATTGTCCACAAACTTGTAAATTTATGCAAAAAAAAAAATTTGAACAACAAAAATTAGTTATCTGATCAAATGCACAAATTATATCTTAATCAGTTCAAAAAACTTAAAAATGAATATTAAGTAATACATAAAGAAAAGTATTACTTTATTTAAACCTTTTATATTTAAAAATAGTAACAATGGTATCCTACTTTTCATGAAATTATCAACGAATTACCTAAAACGTTCAAATTATAAGTTTAAATCCTAGCATACATCATTGTATATTAAGGAACAAAGATACCAGCTAAAACAGAAACATTTTAAAATGTATTTTAACATATTGATTATTAAGTCCTTTTTTACATCTGGAAAAAAAACAGCATGACATTGTGATATTTTTAACATAGTTATCATACAAAAAAAAACAAAAAAAACAAAAAAAAGAAAACTTACGCGTGATAAGTAATCCAGGGTTTTTTCGAAATCTCTTTGTGCATCCATATACAACACAAACTAACATGCTTCAAAAAGAAAAGAAAAAAATATTGTAATACAGACTTCTTGCCAAGTCACAGCGATAACAGGAACATGGCCGCCAAGCTTCACCGTTTGAGTTGAACCTTCCCTCCTTCTATTCTAACCTCCTTGGTAATGAGTGCCTTTTGTTTCGTCAAACGAAGCAGCCAAGTTCATTCGCGTTTCTTGGGCTCAAAGTCAGGCTAGCATAAACAGGCTTTTATGGATTTCATTATTCCCTTCTGTCAGTAAATAATATTACGAATCTGTTTAATTACTAAAGTTGCGTAGCCATCTGATATTTTGATTTTTTTGACTTCAGAGAAAATATAACGTATAATTTATTTCATCTTACAGTACTTTTTTCTGTAGGAATTTGTTAGGAATATTCTTTCCATAAAATTTCAATGCTGAAAATCAATCTTCTTAATGAATAGTTTCTTTTTATTGTTTAATAGTAACCTCATTAATTTTTTGTTAAATAAGAAAACGCGTAAAAGTGCATGATCCAAAACATGTGCAAAATCCATAAGTAAAGCTTTCCCAATGTGAAAGGGGGAAACAGTAAAAAGGTACATTTTATTTCATTTGGCCGTCAATGTAAAATTATGGTAGTACTATACTGCAAGGTAAAGAAATTTTCCTGCGACATCAGACAATAATAACATCCTTAAAAACCTTGAGGGAATTTTTTCTTGAACTATATAAGTCACCAGCTGTGATTCATGCGTTTCTAGCTAGTGGCAGACCTTCAGCTATCGACGCAATGGGCGGAATTTTGCCTGGACCACCCACCTTTTTGGAACTGTCACCATGCAAAATGTCAACGCAAATATATAATTAACATTTATATAATTAAAATTATTTGGAAAATTTAAAAAAAAAATTAAGACTAAAAAAAACAACTTGCGTCTAGCGAACAAGCATATATTTCAAAATTAATTAATCTGCATTTGTGACTATTAAAAAATAATCTCAGTAAAAAAAGCTAAAACCGTTTTTTTTTTTTTTTTTTTTTTTTTTTTTTTCCGACCTTCGACCCTCTGTAAATTTTTTTATAGTTTCATCAATATCTGTTTCGTGCGAGCTTCGACTTCTGCACTGTAGTTTCATCAAAATTAATAATTTTAGCGGTTGTATTTTTAAAGGGTAGGGTTGCGAAACCGTTAAGTCTCACTTGGCTCATCCTTAATCAACATATAACTTCAGCTTTGAAAAGATTCTCTCACAGGGAAGCAACTGAAACACACACTGCCAAAAAACCTTTTAGAGCCACATATAAGTTAGAGACTGATTCTTTGAAATGTATTTGCAGAATAAACTTTCACAATTAAGACACAATAACACGCCGAATAAATACAATTCGGAAAGTCAAACAACAAAAAATCAGCGTGAATGAATCATTAGGAAAGAAGGAATCATTTGCGGTTTTGCAGCTGAGGATGGTGGTTCGGTAAAAACCATCGAAACTAGCCCTGCGAAAATTTGAAAATATAACGCTGATTTTTGTTATTTGACTTCCGAATTGTAAAAACTTTCACATTTTCAATGCAGACCACTTTTTAGCTTCTTTCTTCTCTATATTCCTATATATAGTTTAACTTTGTTAAAGTTCTTCTACGTCGTTCCAGATAAGAGGCTTTGGCGGTCCGCCCCCTTTCCCTTAAAAATATGGGAATGAAAATAATCCATATTATAAGAAGCAGAAAACTATTTTTAATATTTTACTTATATTTTCGAGTAATTTAATCTGCCTAGTAAATTCATTTGATTAGTATAAATTAAGTCATTATTCAAAACGAAAAGAACACATTGTGGAAAACGGGAGAATAAATATCATTAGGAATGACGAAACTAAGGTGGAACAATATTTACGAGAAAACATGAATAACATCATTAACTAAAAGGCACCTTAAAAATGTCTACCCAAAATTTATATATTTTTTTGACAGAGATCATACAGCAGATACCATCTACTGTCATTGGTAATCTCCTACCCATTTTCCTGTTTAGCACCACTGGCGCTATTAGTCTCGGAGTTAAAATCTTGTGTTCGAATCACTTTTCAAACTGTTGCCACCAAATGTTATCGTCATGTATTATTTTAAAATATTAAATAATGAAGAATCTGTATGTGTGTATGTATATATGTTACTCACACTGTGGAAAAACAACGACACCCAGAGCTATCGAATTTACACGTAGTCTTCCACCCGATCATGTGTACCTGAAAGCTCGGATTTTTAATTTCTAATTTGTTTCTTATTTATTTCACATTTTATACAATCTGGATGAATTTATGGTTAAAAGACTCAACGATTTGAAAGCGAGCGATGGCAAAACGTTTCGAAATAACACATTTTTATCTCCAGCGCCAGACTGTTGCCCTCCGGCAAAATGTAGCATCTTTCTATTCTAATTAACAAACTCTGCTATTTGAAAGCAATAAATTGCCATTGCTGGAAATAAAATACCTTTATGGTGCGCGCGCCAGTGTGCTGCATCCAGTAAAGCCTAAGATCTCTCAGATTTAATCTGGTTTGTTTGTTTGTGTGTGATTATGGCAAAGCCTCGAGGGCTATCTGCCTAAGAGGAGGGATGCCTTCGTGGAGGACTTTCTAAGGGAAACTGGCTCGTATACACGTTACACATGGGGAAAACCACGAAAACGCCCATGCAGCCAGCCCGTTCGCGGGATTCGAACCTCGGACCGAACTACCAGTGTTCAGCGATTTTACCGCTCGGCCGCTGGTGGACCCAGATTTAATCTGGAATTTAATTCTAAAGATATGTTACTGTATTTTACAATTCTGCTGCAGAATTTTATATGACGAAAGGGCGAAAAATGTGGTTTATAATAAACACAGTTAAAACGCAAAAAGTTAGTAATAAAAAAGACAAAAGAGTCAATTACTAAGTCATCTTACTAAGAAAACTGAATGTTGATATAATAAACTGAGAAAGGACTGAAACGAAAATAATAGAAAAGTGTATGCTGACACTTAACACTATTTAAGGGATTCTAATCACATGCTGCTTTAAAAAAAATCTGATTTTGAGTTGATTTTAATGGGCTGTACATGTGAAGAAAAATAATTTTAATAATAAAGCTGAAAAAAAAAAAAAAAAAAAAAAAAAAAAAAAAAAAAAAAAAAAACGAAAAGTTGTGCTAGCAGGAGTGGTAGAGTGTGGGCTCATTACTTCTAGATACATCTTCGAGACGGTATTAGCTCGGCAATAGGATAAAAATTGTTAACAAATCGTCTGGTGCGATATTAAAACTCTGAATTTCAGATTTTTTTTCTTTTTGTAGACAGTTTTGTTTCACACTGATGATTTCTAATAGTGATTTTTTTTTTCATTTTTCTGCAATAAATAACATTTGTTTTCCACGTAGGATCCAATTAATTCACAGCGAAGCTTATTTGCCTCTGACTATAATTCCTATCTGCTTTTGATTTCATAGTTATTTAACTGCATATACATATTTGATATAATGATTATTATCTCCTATGAATTATTTAATATTTAACGTATGCGGTATTTTTCATAATGCAATTTTAATTTATTTACAGAACATGCATAGCTCTCAGTTTACAGATGATCGATATCGGCATTATAATGGAGAAATACAGAATTACAGTCCTCTAAATGGTAAGCAGTTTTACATATATAAGCAAAATTAAAAATTAAAACGTCTTTATTCATTATCTGAAGCATTTTCGATATTTATGCATCAGTCTTATTTACATTTTCCATAAGTTTAATGAGATTTGTATTAAAAACAGTGTGTCATTGATAACAAATGTTTTAAAATTGAGTTTTACCTTGAATTAGAATTCTAATTGAGCAAGCACGAAATTAGAATTCATTTCAGGAAAGGTTTTACAGCGTTTTATATAAATATTTATACGAAATCGAATAGTTCCAAAATATGTAATTTTTATTAGCTAAGATCCATTTCTTCGGTATTTCCACACAAAGGCGGAGAATTCTTATTTTTCTTTATCATACCGAAATTTTTCCAAATACGTTGCGATTATAACGATCGCGTAAAATGATGAATGATAAAAATGAAAATGATATTCTTTCAGTTATAATCTACAAATTTGTCTATTTAAAAGAGGTGTATTGCCACTGCCTCAAATAAAATAATTATTATCTCCACGCACGAGCGCATTGCCATTCAGTAAAGCGTAAGATATTTGAATTTCAAATTTAACCTTTCCATTATTCAGTAGCAAATCAAGTGACTAAAAAGCAATAAAGGCAATTCTTAAAAATATTTTTTATAGTTTTTAATGTGTTGATTTAAATAAAAATTCATTGCAGTCATGAGATATTTAATTAGAAATATTAGGTATTTTTACCTGATACAATAAAATACTTGATATACACTAGCAGGACTGATTAAAATAATTATACATACTTAACTTCTTTTTTTATCATAACTCGTTTAGGCGGGTAGTTTTTAATGGAGTAATATAGCGAATGTTAAAAAATATATCAGAATCTCCAACCTCTATTGGGAATTCTAAAGATGTGTTATTTTTAAATATTTTATGTTTTTGTTCTTGATTTTTACGTAGCGTAAGTGAGAAGAAAATTATGCTTAATAATAAAGCTAAAAAGACAAAAGAAAAGTGTGTACTAGCAGGAATAATCCCAAGAGCAGATTAGTAACCTGGGATGCTCCGCGAGAGCACGTCACAAATTCTCAGTTTTCTTTCTTTCCTTCCAAAATTGTTTTTAATAGATGTAGCATACCAGCAGGGAAGAGCTATTTAAATAAAATCCCCTCATTAAATAGGTTTACTGTCATTCAACAGACAGTTTCGAGTGGCGGAAAAGAGTTAAAGGAAATGTAACTTGTTAAAATAATTTCACGTTTCTGCCACCCCCCGAGTCAAAAACTTTCCGCGTTTTTTTTTTTTTTTTTTTTTTTTTCAGATAAATTTAAATTTAATTTAGTTTTATGACGTAGAAAATTTTAACTAAGCAAAAACAAAATTTTGATTGATTGTATCTAAATAAACTCTCAATTGGAGACATTCATTCATTAATTTTCGACGGCTCGTTTTTCAAACTTTTTAAATTCGAATAGATTATATGGCAAACAACTACTTCAGTTGATTTTTTGGGTTGATTTTACCTCAAATGAGAATGATTTCATGGTGAACGGCTGAATTAATTGGAGAAAATAATTTTGTGAAGCTTAATAATGAAGAAATTAAACTTATTAATATGCATAAATAATAAAATGTTCACTTATTGCAGTTTCGTTCACCTTCAGTCCGCCTATATCAAAACGTTACTGTTATGGTGGTGAATTATCAGGCAAGCTTCATCTTCTCTGGCTTTTAAGGACTCTAAATATCTGTATATCGCATTTTGAAAGTGTCTATAAATATTTACCAACTGAAAAAGAAATGTCCCTGATATGAATTGGCCAAAAGGAGGGCCCCCTAAGCGTAAATATTTGATGATTTGATACAACAGAATGGTAGTCGGGATTAAAAAAAACTACTGCGTGAATAACCAGAAAAGTAGGTAAATGTTAGAATCAATATTTGAAACCATGATAACCATGAAGAATAAATGAAATCAATATATGAAATATTGTTAGGTGGAAGAGGGAGAATCCCACATCGTGTATATGAAGTATTATCCGCTTGTTTGCTCTGTGTAAAGAAATGAGATATATACTCTACAGTATATATCTCATTTCTTTACACAGTTATATATGGCTTGTTATATATGGTTTATTATATGTTATAAGGCTTGAGTGGCGGAAACATAACATAAATGTTTCCCAGGTAAGTCGCGCATTCGAGACATGAAAAATGGAAATTGAATTTCGTCAATTGGCCCAATAGAACGGGAGATAGAGGTTTTTCTTTTTATTTATTTATTTATTTATTTATTTTTAGTTTACATTAATGGGTAATACTTTCTAACTGCAAACAAAAAGAACAATGGAACTCGCAAATTATGTAAAAATTTAACAGAAGGACTCCGTGAACCTCCAGTGCGACCCTCTGCTGTGGAAGAATATTTATAAAGCTGTGTTTGCTTTGAAAATGCAAGATAAAATACAGGATTTTCTTCAATTTTCGTTAAATAATTCACAAAATAGGGTGACAATACTAAACTTAAATCCAAACATAGTTCTTACTCTATTTAATTAGAATTTGAAAACCTGTAAGTAAGCATGCAAGTAAACACGTATGCTAAAAACATATATAAAATAACGACATAATCATTTAAGCGAATTTTGATACGTTATTCGCTTAATTCTAAGCTTCTATACCATAAAACAAAAAAAAACAAAAAAATCATTAAAAGTTCCTTCTCCTCGATAAAATTCTCGAAGGAGCAATTCCAACCTCTTACCTCCGACAAATACCGGTACACCACCGATTTCGTGCAAAAATTATGTTGTAATTTATTGCTGTTACAGGACTGGGATCAATTCCCTTCAAGGGAAACTTAAACGTAGCCTCAAAATCAAAAAGTGTTTGTCATAAGCTATCATTAGAATAAAGTTACTTTCTTAATATAGCACGGGCTAACGAGGAACTGGATGATGGTTTCCTTTTGTGGTCGACGTGTCTGAAAGTGGATCCACCCGTTTTGGTTATTTTGTGTTATTTTTTCCTTCTTCTAGGTGATAAAAATATGATGTCCTATCTTCATTTATTTTATCCGCTGTCAAACAACCCAGAATTAATATATCTTTTTTCATACATTTAGCAAGGACGAATTAAGACAGTTGTGTCAGAGCACAGTTAATAATTGTAAGAATAAATGAATTCTTTAGAAAACAAAAATTCGTTGCTGAAAGTATTTCTGTAAGAACCAAACGTCTCATGCTAACAAAGCTTTAAAATACTAATTTCAAAAATTTGTTTCCGGGCAAATCTGCCACAGGGGTTTTAAATTTTTAACAAATGTTTATTAACATATTTCAATTAGACTGAATAACTGAATGCACTTAACACCAAAATACCGTCCACCAAATGGCTACAACTGGATTCGAATGTGTATATTTTTAGTGTGACACCTAATACAAACCCACAAGGGCTGCTTACGCATACAGGAAGAGATATCTTCACAGATGATATTTTAATGGAAACAACCTGTACATATTGTTGCGTAAGTACCGATTGGCAATAGATTGAATGCACACAGGTCCGATGATAGGTTGATAAAATTTATTTTATCAAAATAAACATTTCCACACAAATACTCCTATTGGTATTAACAGTATCGCAGAGTACAATCAGTAGTTTTACTTCAATCTACTAAGAAAGTTAAACACAACTTAATGCAGAGAGCATTGAGTTGAGAGCGAAGCTAACCGGAGATAGTATTTGGAGGTCACGCTGAGCTAACAGCAAACAGCAGTGACTGAGAACAGATGCTCTTTCCGGCCTTATGTAATTTTCACCCAGTCGCCGAACTTTCTGTTTCTCGAAATTGCTAGAAGGTAATATGAGAGTCTAATTACGGTTGTAGCTAATATTGTGATCAATTACATTTATTCAATTACACCTATTACTGTGATACAGGTACCGGACCAAAATGTTACTAAGTGGTCGCCAGGTTTGGCGTCTTTTAGCGATTTCTTGCTGAATTTGACTACAAAAATTAATCGCCAAAACCATCTGACCGATATCTCCCAAGTTACCGAGATACCCATATACTCAAAGTTAAACACACTTGCCCCTGTGTTCTTATTTTTGCGGCGTATATTGTCTCTTTCAAAATGTTGCCCCCCCCCAATTAAGAAGCCCTTACCCCAGTGGTCTTAAACTGGTGACCACCGAAGCAAATTTATGAGGCTAGCGCATTAAATTCAGTTATGTATTTGTTGTATGGTTTGCAAACAGAATTCATATATGAAATTTTATATAGGGTGTAATAAAAGCTTCCAGAGCTTAAATAATGAAATCTATTAAATTAACTACGTTGTTAAACGTATAAGGCATTATCTTCATTAATTTCCTATTGATTTAATTACAATCTTTTGCAAAAAAAAAATGAAGCATCATGAAAGAAGTAGTTGTTTTTGATGAAACTAAATGTGTGTATAGCTCATACACAGATAATAAAATGATTAAAAAATCAAGGTCATAGTACCTCTTCACTGCTCATACTCACCCATTGAAAGTTCAAATTAGTAGTTGGTCGAACCGCCCCTGGCGGCAATGCATGTTTGAATTCGTCGAGGCAAGGAGTGGTTAGAGGTTTTTAATGTTCCTAATGTTGATAGAGGTTCCTAAGAGGATCCTGCGACACATTCTGCCAAGAATTCATCAGTTGTCGCTCCAAATCTGGGATATTTTCTGGCGCTCTAATCTGGCGGCCTACCATGCCCCAGACATGCTCGATCGGCGAAAGATCTGGGGACCTTGCTCGCCAAGGGAAGAGTATCAGCCGCACGGAGACAGTCCAGATATATGCGAGCGGTATGTGGCCTGGCATTATCTTGTTGGAAAATAGTCCCAGGTGCCATGAAGGGTAATGCAACCGGCCGCAGTATCGTATCAACATATCGTTGAGCTGTTAAAGATGTACGGAGGATGACTAAAGATGACCTGATGTCATAAGAAATAGCGCCCCTCACCATCACACCAGGGGTTATGGCTGTA